CTAATGGTAACCTGGACTTAGAAGGCATGGAATCTTCCTCTCCCTCAACCCCATTACTTTTTGCTTTATTAGCATCCCCAGCCTCCCTCCCTGCCTTGCACCTCCCCAGTTTCATTTTCACTGCTTTCTTTGTCATGCTTAAATTCCACGCTTCATCACTTCAGCCTCTCACCCTTCCATTTTGAATCTCTGGCACATCTCAACCCTTCATCAATGCAACCAATCATACATAGTGACTCAATTATCCATCTCATCTCAGTTGCACTCTCAGTGCCTTCTGTTATCCTTCCATATTGCTCCAGAAACTCTGTCCAATTCTCCAAAGTCTTTAGCAGAAACCTGTTCCACACTTTCCAACCTATTTCCACCTTCACCTCCCTTTTCACATTCAGCCGATAATCTTACAGGCTCTGGAAAGGGCTCTGTTCCTACCATCAAACTATATGCTTAAAACTATATGCTTATGCCTATGTCCTTTCTTCTTCCTCTGTCTTAGTTACTTTCTCATTGCTGAGACACAATACCTGACATCCACAGTTAAAGGAGGAGAGGTTTATTTTAGCTCACATTTTGTACAGGTTTCAGTCCATAAACTGTTGACTCCAAGGGGCATACCAAAGGACAATTGCTCATGGCATGGTGGCAGGAAGCAGAGAGACAGATCAATGGAGAAGGGAGAGAGATAGACCCTTCCAGGCCACGCCCCCAGTGACCCACCTCCTCTAACCAGGCTTCACCTCCCAAGTCACATTTAGCTATAAACTTATCAGTGGACTAATACACTCATGGGTATCATGCCCCCATGATCCAGTTGCCTCCTCAAAGCCGCCCCCTAGAGCATATGAGGCTTTGGGGAGACATCTAGATACAAACCATAACATCCCCTATCATTTATTGTTCTGAGCAAAATGTAAGAAATGCCCCTTCTTTCATTTCAAGTTTCTCTACCTGCACTCTTGTTTGCATCATCTCCTTACTTAGTGTCTCTGTAGTATCGAGTTTTTGCTTTTTTTCCATGTCTTCAACTTCTCCATCTCTACTGACTCCTTTGCATCAACATGCATCTCCCACCTCAGGCAACAGCACCTCTTTGTGCCCCACTCCCCCTCTAGCTCCCTCTCTGTTTCCCTCCTTTTTAAGTCTAAAAGCACTGTCTCCACTTCTCCTTTCATGTGTTGCAATGGCTATTTCTAGCCATCACTTCACTCAAATGGCTTTTTAAAAAATCCAGTGAACCCTTTCTTTCTCCTGAATTCTCCTGAATTTCCAGCAATATGTGGCACATTTGACAACTTTCTTCTGGTTATCAAAATTTCTTCCTTTGGCTTTATGACTACATGCTTCTGGATCTCCTCTTGTGTCTTCTTTTGATGTGCTTCTGTGGCCTGCCCCCTATGTTAGTATTCTGATCTGTATCCTGGTCATCTGTATAAATGGTCTATTAATGTGTAACAAACTGACATAAACACAGCAGCTTAAAACATCAACTGACTACTTCTCAGTTTCTGTGGATCAGGAGTCCAGGCATGGGTAAGCTGGGTCTTTTGCTCAGGTCTCACAAGGCTGAAAACAAACTGCCAGCTGGGGCTATGTGGTCATCTGGAACTCTAAGCTCATTCAGGTTATTCGTAGATTGTTATTGTAGGACTGAGGTGCCTGATTTTTTGTTGTCTATCAACTGGTTTCATTCCCACTTCCTCGAGGCCATTCTCAGGTCCTCCTGTGTAGCCCCTTTTATTGCAGCAATGAATAAATCCTCTTTTGTTGAACTCACCTTATGCTTCAAATCTCTGACTTCTATGAACTGGAGAAAATTTTTTTCTTCTTTAAAGAGAGCCCTGTATGATTAGGTTAGGCCTACTTGGATAATTCTCTAATCTTGTGGTCAACTGATTAGTGAATTTAATTAGATCTGCAAATTCCCTTTTTCCACATAACCTAACATACTCATGTCAGTAACATTAGGTAGGGAGCATCATGGGAACCAGCTTATATTTCTGCTTTCCACAGTACTTTAAAAAACTATATTATTATTGTATACATTCCCCTGGAATGATCTCATCCTTCTCCTCAGCTTTATTTACCAGCTCTCTGCAGATGATTCACAAATCTAGCTCCAGCTCCAATCTCACTCTGGAGCCTTTAAACCTGTATCAGCAATTTCCACTGTCCACTTGGAGGCCCCACAAAAAGCTGAATTTGGAGGTTGCAAAATGAGCTCATCATCTTATCAGCAGTCTTCTTCCTGGATTCCTTCTTTCAGAGAATTATCCTCCAGTATATTCTTGACTTTCTGTGTATACTTAACTTTATCCTGCTGCCACATCAAAGCAACCTACACCAATCAAACCTACCTCCTAAACTCTGTAATCGGTGGCTTTCTCTTCATTCCTCAGGCAACCTTCACCTCTCATGTGACTTCTTCAACAGCCTCACAATTGGCTTCTTGGCCACTAGTCCTCACCTCTGCAGAGGACACTGGGAATCTCCATTCCAACTTCCCGGTGGTACTTCCTTCAGGAATCTAAAAGCTACATTCCTTCACTAGGCTTCTAGTTGTGGTACAGATTCCAACAATCAGATGCACCCATGCAAGATTTGGAAGGTGGAAGTGATGTATCATGAAGAGGGGGCTTTGCTTCTGCTATTTCTGTTGGCAGAGTTGTGGAAGCATCTGGCTCTCAGCGGCAGTTGTAGAGGGAATTCAGTGTCCAGTCCCCAGGGACACGAGTGAAAAGAGAATCCTTTTTGCTGGCAGCAGCTCTCTGATTTCCAGATCATGGCAGAGGAGGGATAGTCCTGGAGCCAGCAGTTACATGGAAACAGCATCTTAATATTCCAACTCACTGATCACAGCAGAGGCAACAGCTCTCTGGCAGTCAAGTTCTGCAGTGTTATTCTGGACAGTTTTCCTGGAAGCTCAGTCTAGATTTTGCTCCTCCAGCAACTCTAATCATTTTTAGACTACTTCTGTCTGTATCAATTAGAATGGTGTATTTTATCAGCAACTAAACTCTGGCTACAGTATCTCCCAAATTTCACCCAGATATCAATGAAACTCTAAAACTTAAAACTGATGATGCTGCCCTTGCTTAAAGTCTTTCAAAGGCCCCATATCCTTATATCAAGTCCAAATATTTGAATCTCCTTCCAAAGGTCCTGCATAATGTGGTCTTCCTGTCCTCTAGAGACTCATCATTATCTATGTACCCTCTGGCCGTGTTCACTTACACTCAGATCCTTAACACAGTCCCGCACCCATCTCCTTATCCTAGAACATGCTATTCTTTCTGTGTGGAATCCTCTTTCCCTGTCTTCTCCTTGGTTCCCATTAGTTTTCAATCTTAGCTTAAGGCGATGCCCTGTAGGAAACCTTCTCTGACCCTACCACCCATTACCACCAACTCTCAGGGTTAGGAACTCTTTTTGTGCTCCCACAGCACCCTGGTCTTCCTCCTTTGAAACACTCCACTGAATTGGGATTGCTAGTGCTAAAGTATACCCCCCATTTACCATATAAACTAGTGGAAGGTTCCTTATCTAAGTTGTTCTTTCTTTTATCCCCAGTATTCAGTGAGTACCTGACTCAACTTCAGTGTATAAACTGAATGAAATAATAAAGAAATTGAAGCATTTTAACCAGAGGGTCTAATCTCTATTGGATTTATGTGTAAAACATTACTCATGTGGCCATGTGCAAAAGGAACATTATCAAGGCTGGGGATTTGGCTCAGTGGTTCCACTGCCTGCCTCGCAAGTGCAAGGTCCCGAGTTTGACATTATCAGGCAGAGGGAAGGGGATGAGATTCAAAGTCCAATTTGTTAGTCTGACATGGTGTAATATTAGTGATGATGAAAAGGAAGAGAATATTTCAGATAAAATGATAATATACAAGAAGTAATAAGATAGGTCATTACTAAATCTTTTTTTGGCATTCCAACTCAATTTAATTAACATTTTTTAAGTACCTATTCTAGGCAAAGTATAGTATTAGGTGATGAGATACACCAAGTGTTACAGCGTCCCAATCGTGGAGATTTCAAGGGTTTTCATTGGCTAGTGGAGACATGAATAATTTAATATCAAGCAGAGAGGAAGAGAAGGCAGAAATGAAGTTTATTTTTGAGGGTGAGTGGGTGTGGTTTCTCAGTTTTAAAATTTATTATCATTATCACAATTATTATTACTATTATTATTTTGCCTAAAGGTTATAGTCACTGGCAATAGGTAGTGTACTGTGGTAGAAAGAACATTGCCTGGAGACAGAACAGAAGAGTCTAAGTTCCTTATCTGCCACAAGCTGGTAGTATGATCTATTATTTGCTTAACTTCTCTGGGGCTTAATTTCCTCATTTGTAATATAAGGGTTCAGAATGAAATTACCTTTAAAATTCTATTATTTTATATGTTACATTTAAAATGTGTGCAATATTCCCAATAATTTTTTAATCATCTAATTAAATGTCCATACAGTCTAAAGAGTGCTAGTAATACTTTCAGGCTAATATTTTAACTTTTCCTATTTAGAAGAAGATACAAAAATAATATGGTCACAAATAAACTGGAAACTTTGGGTTTTTTTGTTTTTTTGGTTTTAAGTGATTGATGACAGTATTCACTTTTGCCCATTAAGGACAGTTTACCCAAATGTGTCTCCACGTCCCATCCCCTTTCACTTGCTCAACCCTTTCCAGCCATTTCATTTCGTTTTTCTTTTACTTTATGTACTGTTTGGTATGAATGCCAGGCTCTGTCAGAGGAATGTAAAGAAGAGTCTCAAATAAGTCTCTTTTGGTAATCCCAGCTCCCGGGAGGCTGAGGTTGAGGCATCACAAGTTTGAGGCCACCTGGGCCAAATAGTGAGATGGTTGTCTCAAAAAAAAAAGGCAAAAGAGTGTGTGTGTGTGTGCGTGTGTGTGTGTGTGTGTGTGTGTGTGTGTGTGTGTTGAGACACTGATCTATTAGCCCAGGCTGGGTTTGAACTCTCACTCCTCCTGCCTCAACCTCCCAAAGGCTGGGATTACAGGCATGCAGCATCATCCCTGACCTTTTTTGCCTCTTTGATAGATGAATAGTTTTAAATTCTGCCCTCAGATTGTGTGATGATTGTCTTCAAACATCAAAGGAAGGGAGACACATGATGGAGCACAGAAAGCAGGATTACAATAAAAAAGAGCCATCCACTTGAAAAATTCACCTGCTTTTCCGATCATTTTGGCTCTCTTTGAAACTGAGTACAAAACAGCTTGCAAAGATAGCCCTAGCAACTATAACAGATAAACCTGGAAAAATCAGTGGTTTAATACAAAGGTATTAATACAAATCAGTGGTTTAATACAACTTCTCAGTCACTTCAAGTACAACTGATGGGAGGAGGGGAGGAGGTGGTAGTAGTCTGAGTATGTCTGTTCCATGCAGTCATTTAGGAACCTAGACTGACAGAGACAGAGTCATGTGCAACACATGACTTTCAAGGATTCCCTGGGGATCACCATCCAGGTGGCAAAAGGAGGGTTGGGCAGGATGGGTGCGATCATGGGCCTGGCTGTCTATCTCTTCCGTCCACATTTCATTGGTTGAGTCTTCTCCTTCAGCACACCTACCCACAGAGGAGGCTGAGGAACTGGGTCTAGTGGCATGCTAGCTAAGGGAGAGAAAGAGCAATTTTTTTTTTCTTTTTGGTACCAGGGACTGAACTCAGGACCTTGTGCTTGCCAGGCAGGCACAATGCCACTGAGCTAAATCCCCTGGCCCAGAAAGAGCGGATTTTCATTACTACGTGCTGGTCTGTCTTTTACCCAGGGATACTGATTCTATGTAGCTGTTCCCTCTCAACTCCCTCCTTTCTATGCCCTGTTTGTGATATTTCAGAGGTGAGTCCTACTTGTCATAAATAATTGGAATAGTGATAGTAATCAAATAAATATCTGATTTTTACAGTGCAAACTTTACCTTGCTTTAAGCACTCCAATTTCCACCTTTGACTCTTACAGTACATTAGTTTGTACAGGGCATATAATGGCCATATTACTCTGAGTTGTACATACAGATTTAGCTTTAGGTCCACATAACTGGGAATATTACTCTCCTTAATGTTATCTGACTTAATGAGGTCAATGATAAAAACAATCAGATATCAATTTTTCTTTAGATCATTTGTCTGGGAAATTATAATTGCTGACTTTAAGAACTTTACAGTTGAATAGCACAACTTTTCTTCTTCTTCTTTTTTTTTTTTTTTGGTATAGAGGAGTGGTTCTCAAAGTGCCCCCAGACCAACAGCTCTACTTCATAACTTGTTAGAAACACATTTTTAAACCTCAAATCAGAACTGTTGCATGAGAGACTCTAAGAATGAGGCCCAGCAATATGTTTTCCAAAGTCCCCTAAGAGAGCATTCTAGAACAGCTGGTTTAGTTATTTAGAATTAGATTATTTCAAGAACTAAGACAAAACATTATTTGAAATTATTTGTTAAAAACGTAGGATCTCCCTTTCACATTGTTGTGAACTAAGAGTGCTGTCAAAAATTCACAGAATGAAAAGATTGCTGCTACAAGCCCTGGGAAGTCATGAGGTCAAATAGTTTTTAAAGGTGTCAGTCACAGAAATCTAAAGTTCTGTGAAGCATCTCTAGTCATTTCCTAAAAGAAAATGTATTTATATGTAACTAGTGACTGTTCCTGTGACCATCTACTGTTTGTCTCCAAAAGACTTGGAATTCTGTGTCAGGAGAAATTCTGTGTTGGCAGTTTAAGGGCTGAGTCAGTATCTTATTTATCGTTGTACCCCTATTACTACCAACAAAGACACATAATAAGCATTTGGGATAAATCAACAAATGGATGGAATAGTCATCTCATGGATTTAAGTTCTTAAGTAACTTTGTTCTGGGGTCCCTTTTTAAAAAAATTCTATTTGAAAAATTTATTCTAGTTACTGACTGCCTCATGTATGTGGCCAGCCTTTCCAGCAGTTGAAGATTTTATGTACCAAATATTAAGAATAATGTCTCTGACTCCTCCTCTGAGAAAGAGGAGGAAAAATAAAGCTCCTATGAACCTGGTGCTTGTTCTGCTTCTTGAGATGTCTGTAAAAGACCTTTTCAGTGACTAATCCAGGGTTTCTCAACCTTGGCACTGTCGTCATTTGGGGCTGGTCATTCTTGGTCGTGGGGACTGTCCTGTGCCCTGTAGGACATTGAGCAGCAACCCACTCTCTAACCACTAGTAGCAGCACCACCTACTCCTAGTTGTGACAAGTAAAATGTCTCCAAGCAGTGCCAAGTGTCCCCTGGGGGAAATTTGCCCAGGTTGAGAACCACTGCTTTAACCTAATATTAATAGTCGAATCGTAATTTTGCTGCAATTTATTCAAAGCAATGGAAATTAATCTTAAGAAAGAGCATATGTTCTACATTTCTCTTTAGCTCATTGTTGAGGACTTTGGGAGCGACAGCTCTATTTTGAAATGATCTGATTCACTAATTCTCATTATTTTTGACCAGTTTTCTCCTTGGAACAACTTTATCTTTGGAGATGCAAATTCACAAACCCAAAGCATCTTTTAAAAACATATCTTGTATATAGTTTCAGCACTGAATTCCATTATTAGACATTTTTATTTAGTAATTTCTGAATAATCTAGATTAGCTAAAGGAATTCCATAGGAGCCCATAATATAGAGTTAACAACTAACTAGGTTTTTATCTACTTCATTAAAATATTTCTAAATTATTTAAGTAAAACATTAAAATAAAATATAATAATTGCCTTTATGACATCCTACCTCAAGATTCTGTCCCTGGAAAGAAATTCACTATTGCTTCTGGATTTTAGTTCCTGGTATTTAAGGAATATCTTAATAATTCTATTTCTGAATTTATTTCAGATAGTATCTATTTTAGCATTATTTCAACTTCTGCTCCTCTATATTCTTAATACATTACAATTTTATTTAAATCATCAGTGTTTAAACGATAAGTTGATAGTATACTCTGACACTTTATTGAAATATTCATGATAAGTTATTCTGTTGATGTCCATGTGGTTACGCTTCTCTCATATTGTCCATGTGGGTATGTTTTAAACACTCCCCCCATCCTGGGCTTGTTTTTTGTTTTTTTGTTGTTTTTTTTTTTGGTACCAGGGATCGAACTCAGGACCTTCTGCTTGCGAGGCAGGCGGTGGAACCACTGAGCTAAATCCCCGGCCCTTGTTTTGTTTTTTTCATTTAATGGACTTTTGAGAAGGAGAGTGGATAAAAACATATGGCCATCATACATTTATAGGCAATTAAAATTATTTTGAGAACTTTGAACAATTACATAAACAATTTTATTGTTAGAAGGTAGAATCCTTATTTCCCCCTCATCTCTTGCATTTAGCATAAATGCCAGCAAGGTACTTTTTTAATATTTAGGAAATGAGTATAAAATCTGATTTTTAATTGTTTAAAAATAATTTTGTTTTCTAATTTTTATATTATTAACACCAAGAAATCAGGATCATCCAGAAAACAAACAAAAAAGATTGAAAGTGATACCCTTTTGACAGGACAGGTGAAAAAGATACTAGATAAGAAGAAATATACATAACAAAGGCTACAATTTGGAAATTGTGGGAATCAAAGTCAAGCAATTAATTACTAACAAAGATGGCAACTGCGTTTCTTTTTTCTTTCACAGTGAATGCACAATTATCACTTAATACTAAGACTGGGGAATAAACTATCTATAATCTACTGAAAAAGACCATCTGCTTCTATAAATTTTGTTCTCATACCCTTGCCAAAAGAAGAGAACATATTAACAAAATAATGGGCCCTGCACTGTTAATTGCTAGGTTGTTTGCAGTTGCGCTGCTGCTATTAGAATTTAATAAGCCATTTCTTCTGCTAAATTAATAAGCAGCCAAGATTATGTAATAGCTGCTTTCAGCTGCTAATTATTTTTCCCATAATGCCTTCCCCTCCCTACCCTCACCTCTACCTTTTTTGGGGCTAGGTAAACAGAGATGAGACTGTCAATACATCACCAGTAAGTCTGCAGTCCTCAGTTTCTGATTCCCAGACCAACATTAGGAGCATAACCAATGAGTTTAATCTTGGAGGTGTCGATCTCAGAAACCTTGAGGACAAACGTGTTTTGCACAGAAAAAAAGAGAAAAGCAGCACTTAGAATCTTGAGTTTTTGTTTCGTAGTATTAGAGCTATCTTTGAACTGTCTGATGGCAACTGTTTCGCGTAGTAAGGGAGAAACAGGACATTACCAAGTACCTTTGGGGCATGTTTGGGCAGGGAGCAGGAGAGATTTAGGCAGGGGGCCTAAAGATTTACAGAAAGCTGGCTCTGTGCTTTCTGTAGACCACTTCTTTAACACTCTAGTACACATTAATCATGTATGTTAGTAGGAAACTTTCCAAGCAGCATAGTAATGCTGAAAAGGGGAGGTATTATACATTTTTTGTTTTGTTAAATAAAGGCATTTTTAAATGCCCTCAAATCCCTATTACATACCATCTTAATTTTATAGACATTGTAACACAAATGAACATGATAGCTAATAAAAGAGTCCTTCAAACTGATTAAATTCAGCTTCATGAAAAATTTAGCATTTCTTTTATACTTTGGGACATTAAAAAATTCAGGCGACTAAATAAAATTGTTTACTAAAAAGAGGGCATGCATGGCCCAACAAAAGCAATTTTTTATCTTCCTTTGTAAGAACCTGGGTGGCTCGGGGAATGAATAACATTCGACATGGGAAACCCGTGGCTGTTCAAGCAAGGTCACCTAATCCCGTGGGGCTCTCCTTCCCTTATCTATAAAAGATGAGTTGAACTAAATGATACATCCATTCTATCATTCCAAAAATAATACTAATGAACATCCATTATTTGCTCAGTGTTAGCTCAGCATTATGGCTTTTAACGAATCTATCATTTTAGAGTCTTATTAGTCCACTCACATTTATCAGTTGTGTTACATACCAAGCAGTGAACTAAAATGCAAAATGAATAAAAGCCACAATGCTAATGAGAGGCTAATAGGCACGTGAGCGGAAGAGGGATTCGTTCTTACAGAGTTTTAGGTGAGGCTTCACAGATGTGACATTTGAGAGGAAGGACATGCCAGGCAGAGGAGGTCGTCGGCAAAAGTAAACTGGAACCCAGGCGGCTGGCGGGGGCGACCCCGTGTGAAGGAAGCGGGATGTCGAAGACGAAGTGCTGCCGGGACTTTGGAGCCCACGACGGACAGTAACTCATACGGTCCGCAGCACTGAGAACGGGCGAGGCAGGCCCGGGGAGACTCTGGCGAAGCCTGGGGAGAAAAGTGTCGGGGCTAGGGCCGTGGCAGGGCGATGCGCGGGAGGGGCCGCCCTGTGAACGCGTGCACAAGCTTCACCAGAGCCGGTTTGTTTTCCCGAGTTGTGGCACTCCCCTCCTCCCACTATTCTCACCGACCGTCACACCTCTCTGTCCCACTCTTTTGGGGCAAGGAGAGTCATTGGAACTCGAACTCGGCTCTTTGCAGTCCGGACCTTCCCTATCTTGCACCACGAGGTCAGCTAAGGGCGCCGCGGAACCCCATCCTCCTGTCACTTAAGCGCCAGAGAAGCCGCCCGAGCGCAGCTCGGAGACATGGCCGTAAGTACGCAGGCGCACCAGCCGTGGCAGTAGCCGCTTCCGGGTCACGTGGCCTAGTTTCCGGTTGGTACCACCCCTCCCGATAGCGATGTGGCCAATTGGCTTACTCACAGTACGCAGCACCCGCGTTACCTCGCGCGTCACCCAGTTCGCCCCGCCTCTCACCGCAGCCCCGGCTCCTCCCTCATCCAGCCCCTGGGCGGAGTCTGTCGGTGCGCCCTCCCCTCGCCGCTTAAACCTTCCCTCCACCTAGCGGTTCTTCTCCTCACAGCAACACGGCTTCCCTTCCTCAGCTCGGCGGCAGGGGCTCCCCCTCGGCCGCTGCCGCCGCCGCCGCCGCCGCCGGCCGATCCTCGCCGCGTCCGCGGCCCGCGGCCGCCGTAAGTGCCGGGCGTGAGTAGAAGTGCCGGGATGGGGAGAGGGAGGGATGGCTGGGCGCGCCCCCCCGCCGCCCCACGCCGCCCCACGCGCGCCCCGACGACCCCACCCCGAGCCCTCCCGACCCGCCACTGGGGCCCCGCGTCCCGAAACTCACTTCTGTCCTGCTCCGCGCCCGGCACACACTCTGCTCTGAGCCGGGGGGTCCGGGGACCGGTCCCGGGCTCCGCGGGGGACCTGCGGCACCTGTGGTTCGGGAATCGCCTCAAGTTTTGCGGGGCGTCTTTGGGAGGGGCCGGCGGCTGGGGGCGGCTGCGGCCGTGGACTCCGGGCGTCCCCTGCGCGGCAGCGGATGCCATTGTCTACTCCGCTCCAGCCTGTCACCTCGCCGGGGCTCGGGCGGTGAGGGAGCGTGGCCCGGGGAGGGGACGCAGCCAAGACGGCGGGACCCAACGAGCGCTGGACCCGAGCCCACTCTGAGGCTGAGCCCATTGTTATTAATCCCAGTCTCGAGGAATTGTGGTGCCTTGTGATTCGCGACAAAATCAAAACGTTGACTTTCAACGAGAAGGAAGGAATGTGTGTGCCTTGCAGTCGGGTTTCGTCCCATGTTAGCACATAATTTATTTTAAGGAGTACATTGTTTTTTCGTCCTGCAAAGTGTAGGGAGGATACCGGACCCTGCTTCAGATAGCCTGAAACCCGTATTCTTTCTACACGCAAACTCCCACCCCTTTGGTTCACCCAGAGCTAGGAATAAGGAGCCCATTCTTTTCTAAGTTCTGGGAACGGGTTTGCATTAAATGTCCAGTTGATGCTTCACTTGCTGTCCTCCTCGAATGCGGCTATCTTCAGGACTTCTATGGGAAGCACTTTCATATCACTGATAAATCTGTGTCTTTTATGCTACGGAAGCATATAAAGTGGGGTAATAAACCAATTTTAACTTTAACAAAGTTAAATTGCCACGTCATAAATTTCCAGATACAGTATCTTGTTGCTGCTTTTTTGGATTATTGCAAAGAGCACCAATATCGGTCGAAATTTAGAGCCCATTTTATTCTCCATTGGTTATGTAAACTCCCCCTCCCCAGGTTCCAATTCAAGATGGTGTGATGAATATTAAGAGTCAGGTTTGAATTTTACTTGCATTTACACTTTTAAAGGAACTTACAAAGGTTAAAAGAAAGAATACCAATCTGAATTTTACCTTTAAATTACCTTTGTAAAAACAATTCTTATCTGTAGTTGAAATGGCCAGTTGAATTACAAAATGCTTGCTTTTTAAAAAGTAGACTCATAAACATACTTGCAGATTTCAAAGAAATCTACGCAAATTAGCTTACATGTAAAATACACTGGAATTTGGCACTCCACTCCGTCGGTAAATCCTGTCTTTTATTGTTTTAAATGAAGTATTTGATGTGTTTGAATATGTGTAACTCTTAGCTTTTTAAAGATTTGTAGTCTCTTTCCTAATAATACATTAACGCAGTTCTAAATTGTGTACATGATTATGTCGTGGGATTTTTTAAAGGGAGAGCATATACCTTAAAAATCAGGTTTTGACTTAAGAAAAACGTGTATTTGTAAGATCTTTGGCGGGGGGGGATTGATATTTTAGGTCATTCTGGTTTTGCTAGCATGAACTGAAGAGAGCATTGTGAGTGATAAGCGGTCTGTCTGCAAGTAATTCAGCCTGGAACTGGAACGGCCGCAGGCTGGAAAATAGGTCTCCTGTTTTCTCCCAAATGTACCTAAACCAATTGATGTCTACAGTTCTCTTTTGATGCATATAAAGAGTGTGGAATGTATAGAACAGGTAGAAAATAGTTTCTTAATTTACCAGAGTCGTCTTTTTCTTTAAAGATTTTACTCCAACTTATTGCCAGTTTTCCTTTTTTTCCACACTCCCTTCCAAACGTGTGTGGAGCTGGGTGAGGTGGGAAGGCAAGGTTTGCATCTAGTAGAAGATCTTCCTAAAAGAATTTCCTGCTGTTTTAACTGGCATAGAGATAGCGATGGCTACTAATCGTTTGGTCAGTTTGATGCCTTGCCCCTGAAGCTCTCTGAAACAGTGTATTCTTAGTCTTAACTATTGATTCAAAGTATCGCATGTAATCTTGATTTTATTTACTTTAACAGATGCAGTTTATGTTGCTTTTTAGTCGTCAGGGAAAGCTTCGACTGCAGAAATGGTATGTCCCACTGTCAGACAAAGAGAAGAAAAAGATCACAAGAGAACTTGTTCAAACCGTTTTAGCAAGGAAACCTAAAATGTGCAGCTTCCTTGAGTGGCGAGATCTGAAGATTGTTTACAAAAGGTAAAATTTTTATTTATTAGAAAGATGAAGCAGCAGAATCGAATGCTAGGTCATTTATAGTGGGGAAATACACTTTTGAACAATACTTATAAATAATGATTACTAAATATTTAGGTGGACTAGGTTTAAAGGAAAGCTTTGTATTGTAAAATACCTGCTGTTTTGATTGATTACCCAGGCTAAAATTATAAAAGCAAGGAAATCGTCTTGAAACCAAATTATATAATTAAAGACATAAATGATTATTCATGCTTAATTATGTTTTTTAGAAAAATTCAGTGAATTCACTTCATAAGTAACAACTGACATTTGATGTACCTTTCACCTAATTTTGAGAATTTTACAAGCACCTTGGGTAGATACCATTTCAGTTATTACAGATGTTTAAGAACTGTAATACTGGATCTGTTTATTAATAGTATTTATTTATTTGAAATACACTTGTTGCTGTGGTGGAGGTGTGCTTAGATATAATAGTTTTGCTAAGGATAAATTTTTTAAAACTTTGATGTTGCTAAATGACTCATAGATGGCTTTTAACACTGAAATTTTAAAAAAATGGTATACATCTGTATTTTTTTAATATTTGAAGAAACTCTTTGATCCTCTTAATTTCTCAAGATTGTTCTAAGCAGGTTAAATGAAGTATAATTTCTTTTATACAACATGTTTTGTTTTGTGACACTGGGGATTGAATTGAGGGCCTTCGCACTGAACTACATCCCCAGCCCTTTCTTCTTTTTTTATTTGGAGACGTTTCTCGACAAGTTTCCCAGGCTGTTTCCTCCTGCCTCAGCCTGTCCTGCCCAGTAAGTAGTACTGGGATTACAGGCATGCACAACCACACCCTGCTTAGAACATTTCTTGAAGGAACATTTATTTTGTTTCTTCCCCATTTCTGTTCCCTTTTGAATAATTTACTGAATTTAAGATAAAAGCATTTCTGCATCTAAAAAATTCTCTTATGTGGGAGCATACAGGGAACTAAACATACAGAATGCCTTGCGGGTGAAAAAAAGATAAATTGTTTCTTCTCTTTCTTTTATTGCACTCCAAGTATGGATGGGTTTTTTTTGTGGAAGAGGTAGAGAGGCAGAAATGGAAATTATAAGACATAGAAAGTTTCCTAAATACTATAGACTTTATTACAGAATGAATTCAATCATGTTTGGGTGATTTTTGTATCCAGCATTTGATTTAGTACTTTTTGAGAAAGATCAGAGAAAAATCATAGCATTTCAGAGCTGGGACATGTCTTAGAATCATCAAGTCAAGAACTTTTTTATTTAAGCTTTTTGCCCCAGGGATAGAAGCCTAAACAAAATAAATGGAAGTGTTGTAGCTACTCTTAGGAAATCAGGAAGGAGTATTCTGTCCCCCTGCTCACTTGGCTTGGCTCTCTGCACAAGACAGTTCCTGAATTTGAAAAACACTGTTGTTGACCAAATTGCAGTTTTAGACAAAATGAGAATTTGGGAAGTGGCTTGTCCAAGGTCACATGCTAGTGGCAGACATGGGGCTGCAGCGCAAATCTTATTGGCAAAGATTTGACATAGGGGTAAACACAGTTGTACTGTGCATTGCTTAAAGGTTTCCTATAAGACACTGGGTGGGGGAGGGAGGGACTGAGACGGTACCTGCCAAGCCAACGGGAGACTGCAGGATAATGAGGCCTAAACCAAGAGTCTGGAGAGGAAAGCTGTTACCTGTGGAAGTTGGATAAGAGAAGTGAGGACAGCCAAAGAGGAGGGAATGTGTGAGCACATTTCTGGTTTGGCTGATTGGGTGAATGGTGAGCTAGAGAACTCTGCTGCTTTCTAGCAAGCTGATATTGGGATGCTGTGTGACTTCCATTAAGAGATGCCTGGCCACAGCAAAAAAAAAAAAAAAAAAAAAAGAGATGCCTGGCTTTCTGAGGGCGTCTCATGGGCACAGGCATGTAATTCTGGAGAAAACTAGGCAGTAAGTGTTAGATGACCAGCCCTACAAGCAGCAGGCAAAGAGAATAAAGAAGGGACCCACAGTAGAATGAGAACCAAAGAGTAAGTGTTGGATCAGTAGAGTCAGGGAGGCAGAGTTTCTGTCCGAGGAAGATCTCCGATGTTACATGTCATGTGAAAGTGAAGGAAGAATATTCAGTTTTATCGCGAACATTTCATAAAAGCCCTTTACCAGAACATTTTCAGTGGAGAGTAGTAGAGACAGAACTCTTGATATAATGGGGCAAAGCGTGAAGAGGTAGAGGAATTTAAATAGCATATGTAGACTATTTTAGGGGAGATTTGCTGTGAAGGACAGAAGAGGTGGTAACCATCCATAGACAGGATTAAGAGGGGGAAAAAAAGTGAGGCTTAAGCCTGTTTTTAGATAGGGAAAGGAGTCCCCCGTGTGGAGGAGGAAAATACTAGCAAGGGAATCAAGCCTGTGAATGGGCTGTTAAAAGGGAGAAAGGAAAGAACTGATTGGTGTCCCTACACATGCTATTCAGCCTGTCCCCCTTGGGCCACTGCTTTTTAAAAAAAGTTATAAAAGGAAATCTAACCGGATTCTAATAATTAGATCAAAGTCACTTTAAATAAAAGGTGGAATTGAAAAATTCTCATGTACGAAACATGGAATGTGCACATCTGTTTTCTGTGTGCTTTCCCCCTGCCCATTTCATACTGATAACTCATTTACATACCGCACAATGACACATTTTTGCTGCTATTATCAGACGATTTGTTTCTCGTGTTCCATCTGAAAGAAAAGACCTTCTAAAGCCAGAGAATTACTGTACAGCTTAGCTCCTGAGAAATTCTGAACTAGCACTTTTTTGCTGTTCATATCAGCAAGCATTTTCCTTTCCTTTCCTTTCCTTTTCTTATTAGTTCTCTCTAAGTTGCTCAGGCCGGGCTTGAACTTGTGATCCTCCTGCCTTAGCCTCCCAGACTGCTGAGATCACAGGCATGAGCTGCCAGGCCTAGCTTTTTATGTCTTTGTTAAATTGTCTCATCCATGTTCTTCATCCTGGTTTGGCATACAGATAGATTTTCCCTTTCGGAGAAGGAAAGGTAGGGAGATAGTGATAATGTAGCTGAAAAGAGAGACTGAAAATCTCAGGGCTTGAGTTCTGTCCCTTTGGATGCCATTGAGCTGGCTTTGTGACTTTGAACAAGTCACTTTGCCTTTTTCCTTTGTCCCTAGAATAAATGCTCTTGAAGATCCCTTGAAGACAAAACATTGTATGCTTTTCTGAGTCCTACTTTGTGCAGTATTTTATGGAACGGGCATTGGGTAAAAATCTTTTAGGATTAATTTTAAAATACAGACATTCCCACATTACCAGCTTGAGAATTTGTTGAAGGGACTTATTGATTTTCTTTACTAACAAAAGAATTTCTAATGACATACCAGTGGGTATTGAGAATAGTTTAGCTCCATTCACCCACTGTCAGCTGATATTTAGCTGACTGCAGAAAAGTCATGTGTTTTGAATATAAGAATAGGCACTTTCAGATGTTCTGAGTGTCAGTAATTACAGTAAGCCTAATCCACTAGGCTAAAAATAACCACACATACCTTTCTTCTTACTAGTCTATTATTAATTTTACTTCTATTTAGACTTACATATATGCACAAAGAAAACAAAATGAGCTCATCAAATTTTAAAAAATCATTTGATATTAAAAATAGGGGGTACACTTCAGGTTCTCTTGGTAATCCTTTACTAAATCAGTGTGATATTTTTATTTCTCTTCAAAGCTCTTAAAATATTGCTTTGAAAATATTTTAATTTTGTCAGGTGCAAGATTATTTTAATACAACTGCTAGCTCTAATTTTTAATGTAAAACTTGAGCTGTGGGGCCCAATTGCTGTTCTGGGCAGGTTGCTCAAACCTGGGGCTCCTATAAATGCGAATAATAATGGTATCTTTGGTAGGGTTGTTGTGAAGATTAAAATGGTAAAATATGCAAAAGCCTTAGCTAGCATTTACTAGTACCTCTCCTAAAGTGAGAAACCAATCAATGGTACCTATTATTATGCTTCTGTTCCTCCTTCCCTAAGCTTTCTGAAAAGGGATTTTCTTATCATCCTGATAGCTATCTGTTCACCTAAAAGGAAGAATTCATTAATTTGATGGCTCTTTTTCCATTCTTAGTGAAAGTAAACATTTAGAGGGAGGGGAGAATAGCTCAGTGGTAGAGCACTTGCTAACACTTGCATGGCCTTGGGTTCAATTCCCATCCCCATCCCCATTCCCATCCCCAGCACTGCAGGAAAAAAAAAAGATAATTTACATAGAGTTGGAAGGCATTTTTCTTTTTTAAAATATTACTGGCTGATGTTTAGACACATCAGGTGATTTTTAGATTCATGCTTCTGAATGATTCATACAATTTTAGGACCTTTGACTTGTGTTTTGAGTACTATTTATTTGTAAATAAAGAGGCAGTACTGTGGATACGGTGTGAGGACTATGCAAGCATTAGATTGTTAACAGTAACATTGAAAAAAGGCTTTTTGTTTGTTTGTTTGTTTGTTTTTTGCAGTACTGGAAATTGAACCCAAGGCCTTTACACTGAGCTACATCCTTAGCCCTTTTTTTTAATGTTGCATTTTGAGACAGTTGCCCAGGTTGGCCTTGAACTCCTGATCCTCCTGCCTTAGCTTCCCAGACTGCTGAGATTACAGGTGTGTGCCATCACGGCCAGCTAGGAAATCTTGAAAATAAGGAATTTGACTCAAAATTGACTATTAGTAAATTCTTGTGTAATAGAATTATTTGGTACTCTGTTCATATCAGGTAGTCTGATGTGGTTTTTAATCTAGCATTTTTATCTCCTTTTAATCTTAAATTTTCTTAATTCAGAGAGTCTTATGTATCATTTGTGTCACTTTTTCCATATTGAAAATCCTATTCAAAAACACGAATTAGAGAGGATGGAGAGTTGCATTATCCTGTTTCCTTTTAAACAGATAAACAAAAACAGGGTAATGATGAGAAAGAGAAGAAGCA